TTTATATTTAAAAATTTATTTAATACTTTTCTCATTTTGTAATCTTTTTACCATATTTATTTTTTGCATATATCAATTTTCATTACTCTTTCTATTTATCTTAACCTTTCTTTACATTTACTTTTTAAATTACTCTTACTACTTTATACATTTCTTATTTTCATTTTCTCATTATTTATTACATTCTCTTTTTCATATTCTACCTTTAATTATCATATATTATTTATTATACCACCGCATTTATTAATACTTAATCACACAAATCAGTTATCCGCCTTCAACTTAAACCATTACCTATTCATAAACTTTTTACTTTTACTTTTATATTAACATTTCTTCTTATATTTCTTTTAATATTCATAAAATCTTACATTTCTACCTCATTCAGCTCACATTAAACTCTAGTTTCTTATCCATTGTCTGTACTGTAGCAGGTATCCATTTTAAATTTTACTTACATTCAGTCTTACTTTTATCTATAATATTTTACTCTGTTCGACTTCCGTGTTCTCAAGTTAATTTGAAATTACAAATTTCCATCCCCCATCTAATTTTTATTACTTTTCTTTCACTTTCGTCATCATCTCTCCTTTTCTGTCAACCCCCGATATTTTTATTATTTTCAAACATTTATCTTTACACATAATATTTTTCCTTTCATTCCCGCTTCGCTTCAGTATCTGTTCTAGTTCTACTTTACTATAACTTTTATATTAACTTACTATTGTGTTATTTCTTTTATCTGTCCTACTTTTACCTATATTTATTTTTACTTGTTATACCTTTATGTTTCTTTTATCTAGTCCCATATGTATTGTTTTTATTTTATCTTGTCTTTTAATTTTCGTTGTACTTTGTTTTCAATTTTTTTTTTTTATTTTCTTTTTAACTTTCTTCTTCAATTCTTTAAGTTTTATTTTTAATTTATTTGCTTCCTTCTTATTTCCATTTTTTCTATATTTTGACTTTGCCTTTCTTCATTTACTTCTTTTTCTTTAATTTCTATTGTATCTCTTCTAGTTCCATTAAGAGGTTTCCAATTAAATAAAATTAAAACCAAATAAGAAAAAAATTAAATTTTTTTAGCAGTAGGAAACACAATATCGAGCAAATGGCCACCGCAACGTCTCTGGCAGAACACAACTCTTTTGTTAACATTTTCGATCATAGCTGAACACTTTTTTATGGGTGGATCGAATCTCATTTTGAAATTCTCGAATTGTTTGAGGACTATTTACTTATCCTCTACTTTTGATGTAACCCCACAAAAAAAAATCCAGCGGCGTTAGATCACAAGATCTAGGCGGCCAGTTAATATCTCAATTTCTTAAAAGAAGTCTACCTTGAAACTCTTCTCAATAAGGTCATAATTTCTCTTGATGTGTGAAATGTTGTACCGTCTTATTGTAAATATTTATTGTCAAGATACATATTGATTATTTCAGGTAATAAAAAGTCTCCAAATATCGTGAGATTACGCTCACGTGAAGATAACACCAGAAATGTGCTCAGCAGTGATCGAAAATTTTGGCAAAAGAGTTATGTCCTGGCAGAGAAGTCGCGGTGGTCATTTGATCGATATTATATTTAACATATAGGTAATTAATTATATACGATTATGTGTATTGCTATAAAGTTTTAATTTTTTTCTTACTTGGTTTTCATTTTATTTAATAAAAACATTGCAAACCTCTTATTGGAACACCCTTTATTTCTTATATCTTTTTTTTATCTCTTCTTCATCCATTTCTATTACTTCTACTAATTTTTTACTTCCTACTTTTTCAACGTGTCTAACTTCTTGAATTTCTTCTTTTATGTGGTTCATCTTGTTACCCTTAGCTTCTTCATTCTGTTTAATTTGTTCCCCTATTTTCCTTTGCATTTTTTTGATATTATCATTAGTTTCATTTATTTTCTCATTAATTTGTCTCATGTTCTTATTCACTTCAATGAGCACTTGCGTTAAGTCCTTAATCTTTATTTCTTCTTTCTTTTGATTTTCTTCTATAACTGTTTCTTTTAACACGTTCTCAGCCTGTACATCCCTATCTCCTTGTCCCATTATTTCCTCATGTTCTCCCAGCAACCCAACTGTCCTTCCATCTCTTAAATACATTTACTCTGTGTTATTACTACTAGTTCTATTACAAATTCACATATATGCAATACTTACACTATGTTACTGTCATCAGAATAAGAAAAAATGGTTATTCTATCTGCATTCTATTGATTATGATGGTATGTATAATATTACAAGCTCAACTTTAAATTTTCACCCTGAACAACAGATACACACTATACACAGTTACTGTTCCCAATACAACACTTCAAGACTCAAAACAACAGTTCAATGCAACTAAAAATATTTAATTCTTTCTTACTAAATTTACAAATTCGTATCTCCCAATCTAAATTTAAAATTGTTGCCTTGATGTTTATAGAGCCCCACGTTGGGCGCCACTTGATATGGAAACATACTTTAGTTGCACCAGATTTCCAATCAAGAATAAATCTTAATTTCGAAGTGGGTTCAAAGATATAAAATATTGTAAAAAATTAATAATCAAAATTAAAAAAATCTTTCTTATTTTCTTCCTTCTAATTGCTAACTGTAATAATAATGAAACCTTGCCCTAAAAGGAAAATTTAATGAATTTTTTTGTTGAACTACAAATTTGTTAAAAATGACAATGAAGTAAATGTTCAAAGTGGGGTTCCGTTATTTAGTAAACAATACAGCCTATTTTTAAATTCTGCATGAACTTGACAAATGAAATTCTAGTAATAGCGCAACATGCTTGAGTAATTCTTTCCCGCAATTCCCAAAGTGAGGTAGGTTGAGTTTTATAAACAACTGACTTAAGGTAACCCCATAGAAAATCAGGTGGCGTTAAGTCTCAATAGGACTCAATAGGACCTCTCCTTTCAATCCATTTGTTCGGATAATTAGTATCCAACCAGTGGCTAAATGCAGCTGCATAGTGAGGAGGTGCTCCATCTTGTTGGAAGTGGAGCAAAATCTTCGTCTAGAGCAAAGATTGCCTTGGTTGTCCCTTTGTTTCTCTAATTCATGCATTATTAAAGGTGTGATGGCGTTTTCCAGCATATCCAGATAAATGTTGTCACTGAAATTGCCTGGTATAAAGAAGGGGCCAACTAATATCCCTATCCAAACATTCAGTTTTTCAGGATATTGAGTGTGACCTTCTCTAAACCGATGTGGGTTCGCATCACTCCAGTACCGACAATTTTATTTATTTACATTACCATTCCGCATACAAGTACATATTTCACTAAAACAAATATTTTTTAATAGACTGTTCAACACGAATTCTTTCAGTCACGAATTCACAAAACTCAATTCGTCGGTCTGGATCAATATCGCCTAGTTCTTGAAGAATTTGCGTTTTGTAGGGGTGAAACTTATATAATTTTAACACCTTTCTAACCATCTCACGTAATAGTTCTGTCATTGCAGATACTTGACATGTTAATGCAGTAGGCTCTATTGCAAATTGTCCAAGGACCTTATTTTAACTTGCCTTATTCAGTAATCTTGGGGCATATCTTTTTTATTTTGCACTGATCCCGTTTCTCTAAACTTTTCAACTAAATCGCGGATGTACACGTGGCTTACATTTTTGTCCTAAGGCCTCTCATTAAATATTTGATCTGTTAGTAAATAACACTGGTTCTGGGAGCCAAATTTATAAAATTAATAGACTTACTTTAAGGAAGATTAATTGTTATTTTCCAAGCTTGTCCGTAGATATAATTAAATAGTAGTTTCCTTGAAACAGAATACCCCATATTCATTGCTTTTATCATATATCAAATCTCGGTAATCATTCCGATGAAGTGCGAGTTACGAAAATCACTTGCTATCTGGGAACTAAATATGTATCAACATATATTAGGGTGGGATGGGATATAATTATATCTACGGACAAGCTCGGAAAATTACAATTAATCTTCCTTAAGGTAAATCGATATTTTTTTTTTTAATTTTCCTTCGCTTGTAGTTGATATAATTACATTATGTTCAGAGTAAGAAAAAGTGATTTTCTAATATTTATATAAACATTATAAATGTAATTAAATAAACGAATATTTATATTTATAGCTGATTTTGTAACTACTTACTAGCTAAAAAGTTAATGAGAATAGGTCAAATAATTGATTTAATTTACAAATCAATAATAGTGTTAGCAAAATTTGTCATTGCGTTCTTTTATAGTTTTGTTAAAAAATGTTTTAGAAGAAGGTGTTTAACCCGCGATATTTCTTATCTGTTCAATACTTACACCTACCCTAAATGTAGCAGATATTGATGTGTGACGTAGACTAGTCATTATGAAATGTTGCTTCTTATTACGAGACGATTGTGTTTCCTTGATAATATGTTTCATCTTTATTCTATCAGAGATTTTAATTTCTATCCTTTTTAACGATATATTGGTATTTAATAAAGGAAGAGTCTGTACTTTGATGGCCGATGTTAATTAAAGCCATAAGAATAACAAGTTTATGTGTCAACTCTTCGAAACGATAAGTCTCTAGAGGAGTAATTTTTCAAGGTTTCTTAAATCCCCTTTTAATTTTTATTTTTTTTTTTTAATTTAGTAGGTTAAATTTAAAATTTAACGCTTTCTAATATTTCGCAAACCGGTCACATATTTATTTAGGGCACCTGCTGTTAGAGATATTAATTATCATGCGCCTCTACCTAGACTAATGCGACTGGCTAATTAATGCAATTTAGATATAACTGGGTGTTCAAATAGCCAATTTCAAAACGAATATGTTTTTATTATTATATTTTATTATTGTATGTCACCATCAGGAAGGCTTTTTTTAAGACCTTCGAATAATTTCCTTGCCATCAGGAAAATCTTGTTGTGGCATGGATGGATCTTCCTAAAAGAAAAGGAAAGCAAAAATTTTTCTGGTTTGAACTTGATAATAGCAAAAAGGCAGAAAGGGCAGGAAAGGCAGGAATGACAGGAATGACAGGAATGTCAGGAATGGCAGGAATGGCAGGAATGGCAGGAATTGTAGGAAAGACAGGAAATGCAGGAACGGCAGGAAAGTCAGGAAATGTAGGAACGGCAGGAAAGGCAGGAAAGGTAGGAAATACAGGAAATGCAGGAAAGGCAGGAAATGCAGAAAAGATAGGAAATGCAGGAAAGGCAGGAAATGCAGGAAATACAGGAAAGGCAGGAAAGACAGGAAAGGCAGGAAAGGCAGGAAAGGTAGGAAAGGCAGGAAAAACAGGAAAGGTAGGAAAGGCAGGAAAGGAAGAAAATACAGGAAAGGAAGAAAATACAGGAAAGTCGGGAAAGGCGGGAAAGGCGGGAAAGGCATGAAAGGCAGGAAAGGCAGGAAATGCAGGAAATACAGGAAATGTAGGAAATGTATGAAATGCAGGAAATGCAGGAAATGTAGAAAGGGAAGGAAAGGCAGGAATGCAGAAAATGCAGGAAATGCAGGAAATGCAGGAACGGCAGGAACGGCAGGAACGGCAGGAAATGCAGGAAAGACAGGAAAGACAGGAAAGACAGGAAAGACAGGAAAGACAGGAAAGACAGGAAATGCAGGAAATGCAGGAAATGCAGAAAAGGTAGGAAAGACAGGAAAGGCAGGAAAGGCAGGAAAGGCAGGAAAGGCAGGAAAGGCAGGAAAGGCAGGAAAGGCAGGAAACGCCGGAAATGCCGGAAATGCAGGAAAGTCAGAAAGTGCAGGAAACTCAGGAAAGGCAGGAAAAGTAGGAAATTCAGGAAAGTAATATACTGACCATTGTTCAATCTAAGGTAAATGCATGCAGATTCTGGGTGTGGAAACCATAAAATAAATTTTAAACATTTGTTTCGTCTTTAGCAAGAGATTTTATAGCGTAAAATACTGCCTTGATTTTTAAGAAGTTAATGTACAGTTTTAATTCTTGGTTTTCCTAAAACTAATGGTATTTACAACCATACAAAGGCACACCAACCAGTTTGTGAAGCATCGGAAAATACCTCTTTCGAGAACAGCTTAGGTTTTATAACTTACCTAATCCAACATTTTTCTGTCATCATTCTAATTCTTGTAATAATGAATTCGAAAAGATAATTTACTTTTAAAGAAAATGATATTAATATTCCTTTAACTGATCTTGAAAGCACTCGGTCTGGTTTAATATTTTTCCAAGCCTGTAAGAAACCTAAAAGGCACCCATCTCTAGCGTGGGGTTGCAATGTTCTCAGAATTCCTCCAATTTTAAATGAGTAACGTGGCATGATGAACATTGCTAAATAATTGACAGGCTTTTGCCTAAATTTTGTGGTTGAATATTCTGGAATAGACAGTATTTTTTTTAACTTACACTGCTGATTGCCTATGCATCAGATGTTGTTACAATGCCATAATCAGCCTGTCGTGTTCCTGCGCTGATTTTGGCAATCAGGCTTGAATTTCGTTCTATAGTTTTATATTTAGGCGGAATTTTGTAATTATTGAAAAGTTCTTCTGCTGATCCCTGGCTTTACGAATTGACAGATTAATTCTAAGGAACAACGATTTCATTATAAAAAGTCTGTATCGTTGCAATCTGGTTGTATTTTCTATTTTTATAATAATTTATATTGAAACCCAGCAAACCAGAAGACTCATCAAAAATCGTTCGACTTTCTAATGATATGTTCTTTACGTCTATATTTTGCTTTCTTTAAACAGTAGGATCATTAAATACAAGATAATATTTTTTCGTCTTAATAAAATCGCAAATCGCTCGATTGCTTTTAAGTGCCGCTTACGAAAGACCCCACTGCACATAATTTTTATGTAACACTGAAAAAATCGCATTTAAGTATTTTTTTAACCCTTTATTAATCAAAGAAAATTATTAAATTTTTTATTTAGAAAGAATAACGCACCTTCATCCCTGTGTAAATCCACAGAAACAGAAAAATCATCAAGAATCGCTTGAATTCCTAATGATTTATATTTATGTAATAATAGCTAACGTAATTCAAACAGTAAGATCATAAAAGACAAAGTTAAAAGAGTATGTAGTCTCAATGAAATCACTCGATTTCCTCTTAGAAAATACCGCCCAGTATTTTAAAAGACATAAAGACAAGGTTAAAAGAGTATTTTGTCTCAATGAGATTGCTTAATTTCCTCTTATAAAATATCGTCCGGTATATTAAAAGCTACATTATCTATAAAAAATACTGAAAATGTACTCATAAGGGATAATGCACGTTCATCCATGTATATATTCAGAAAAACAAAAAAAATCATCAAGAATCGCTCGAATTCCCAATGATCTATATTTATGCAAGAATAAAGAACGTCTGTTCTGTAAATTCAAACACTAGGATGATAAAAGACAAGAATAAATGAAATTTTCGTCACCATGAAATCGCTCAATTTCCTCTTAGAAAATAGCGCCCGATATTTTAATAGATATTTTTATATAGAATTACTGAAAAACTATTCAGAAGGGATAACGCTCGTTCTTATAAGTCCAGTAAAAATATAAAATTCATCAAGAATCGCTTTACTTTCTAATGATCTTTATTTATGAAAGAATAACGAACGTCAATTCTGTTAATTCAAACAGTAGGGTGATAAAAGAAAAGATTAAAGGAATATTTCGTCTTAATGAAATCGATCGATTTCCTCTTAGAAAATACCGTCCGATATTTTAAAAGATATTATCTTTATACAGAAAAACTGAAAAGAAAAACTGAATAAGTCGCATGGCATTTTAAACTGTAAGAAATATGACGACGACAGCGATGTTGTACAATACGATATCCAAACAAACTTAAGTTTTTATTTATGGGATATTTCGAGGGAACACATTGAGAACTTGTTCATATTATCGAATATATGCTTAGGATGGAAAATATTGATTGGTAAATGAACCAAAAACGAATTATTATAATACGATCTTTATTTTTTAAATATAATTGCATTATTTTATAAAATAAAGTAGTTTAATTTAAATATTCAGAAGGGATGACGTATGTTTTCCCCTATATGAACAATATCTAATGTTAATGATGAAATATAAAAATAGCCTACCTGTTGATTATTCGTGAGAGCTAGATTCTTTTTATTTGTTCCTTAATTTCACCTAAGTGCCTTTTTTGCACTATTTTTATCCAAGTCTAAAGAAAAATGCGCCCGTTTTAGCATTTTTAATTTTTAAATTACTATTCACTATTAAATATAATTTGAGGAGCCGACCTGTAAAACGCAGTTCGTCCAAAATTTCAGTTTTTTAACTATAGATGGCGATACAATATTGAATTTAATAGCTATCGTTTCATAAAATCTTGGATGTACAAATCGCATTATATCCTGCTTAAAATGTATTGTGAAAACCACTTGGACATGCAAAATGCATTTAGTCCATCAAGATCTCCGTAACTAAGGCGTTTCCAAGCACCAGTTTTTTGCCATTCCTGAAAATTTACAATTTTGGACAAACTGCGTTCTGCATGTCTGCTCCTCATTTAGTCCCTTGCTGTCAAGCACGAAAAAAGGAATAATTACCGAAGTTTGATATACGATAGAAGCAGTGAATATGGGGCATTTTGTTTACTCTAGAAAAAATACGTGCTGTTGAGTTTGTTTCAAGGAAACTACAATGTAATTATATCAATGACAAGCAAAGCAGAATAAAAATTATCTCTACACGTTCAGGTGTGCCATAAACCATCGTGACAACTACAGCTGAATGACCGTACCGATCGTACAAATAATAAACACTAATAGTCGAGGCAATGAAGCAGTAAAATGGTCAAAAGTTCGGAATTTTTCAGACTAAGACGGATGGGAATGCGGATTTTTGCATTCGCTTACAAAAATATTTTGGAAAAAATGTCCCTACTTTTTATCGTATACAAACCGGAAATTGCATTGCTGCAGCCAAAAATACATTCAAAAAAGTATTTTTTGAGACGGATTTTGGAAGATTAAAGAACTTTGTAAATTAGAGTCAGAACTGGCCCAAATCGAGTGGCCGGAAGATTTCGAGGTCGTTGATCATGATTATGATGTTCAAATTAACCCACAGCTGACCTGGAGCTCAGAAACGCCGATGAACGTCATCTCCGTGTGACTCTCCCGAAATTCACGCGGGGAAGGAGAGAAACTCGGCGCCCGGGGGTTTTTTAGGTCGCTGAATTCAAATATGGCATTGGCAAACACCCACCGGATATCTGGTATGCCGAAACCTGGACGTGGACGTCATCACCGAGAATATTCCTAACATCATTGTAGGGGCAATTTTTGGGCGCCTAATTCAAATTTCACGTACTAAAGAATGTGAAAGAAACCGTCGCGCTAATCGGGGAAGTTTAGCAGACGTCCGTTTTAGCGAGAATATGACGTTTTAAATACAACAGGATAAATTTCAACAAAATTAAAAAAATAAAAATAAGATTATTGAAATTCTCCGGGCCAAACTGACTACAGTCGGGACAGCTTTAGACCAATGTATAGCGGATGCTGATCGTACGATTCTACTAACAGCTCTAAAAGAATCCGGAGACGTTACCAAAAAGGTAGTCATAGTGCTTCACTGTCATTTAAGAAGCCGAATGTTCCTGACGGGTACAAGCCAAAATGGGACCAGTTACTACATATGGTACAGAACAGGGGCGGCTTGTGACCCGAATTTTGGGGGTTCACAGTGATAGAATATAGATATCAGTACAGATGTATGAAAAAAACTTTCAGTGTTTTAGAAAGTTTATAATATACCTTTCTAAAACACTGACAGTTTGTTTGCCTACATCTGTACGGAAATCTATATTCTGCTACTGTAAACCCTCAAAATTTTGATCACGAGCCGCCCCTGGTACAGAATGTACATAAAAGCCGCTTTAAAGGAGTAAATTTAGGAAAAATTCTCCCAACACTAGACGCCATTCAACAACATATAAAGAGGGTCTATTTTTAAGTGCAAGAATAGCTACACGAAGACCAGCTGACCATGGACCCAACAGAATGGGGGTGGAGAAAGGAAGGTGACACACTGGTCCCATTAGAAATGACACAAAAACCTGCGCCTAAGAATATTATGGAACTAATATTCTGTGGATGCGCAGGAGATTGTAAGCTGTTGTCATGTAGTTGCAAGAAGCACGGCCTCTCTTGCAATCTTACCTGTAAAATTTGTGTAGGCTCAACTTGCAACAATATTGAAAGATATTCAATTAAAAACATTATTGCGGCAGAAATAAAAAGGCCTTAGATGAGGAAGATGTTCTACTTATGAATACGTTAGTCGATGACGAAGAAAATGAACAGACTAGCGATGTGTTACTTGATGAAGAATTTCATATTTAGTTATATATCTAAAAATTAA